AGAAATGTACAAGAAACGTAAGCGAAGATGTCTAGCTCGTTATTAGTCCCTTAAACCCTAAAATTGAGACTTTACTTAAATCGAATTGTCCTGAAGCTAAAATACCAGAAGCTTTTCTCACGCAGACTGTTGCCCTTCACAGGTTCCACATTTTCTGCTACTTGTGCTGCATCTACCGCTGGACAGACGTTCGAATGCTTGCTTTTACTCCTGTTTTCCGTTGTTGTCAGAGAGTCCAGCTGTAGGGAGTTTGGAGGCTGAGGAAGCTTTTGGGGACCTGCAGCAGTCTCTTTTAATTGGAAATGGCAATTCAGACTAAACGGTGTATTTTTTTAATACACAAGGAAAAAAGTATAACATTCCATATTACGGCACCATTGCCGTCCATATTTTGGGCAGTTCAATACATATCATACAGGCAACTGGGGGCGATTCGGCCGTTTTTGCTGCTACCATGAAAACCTAATTTTCAGTAATGTTGCATATTTAAGAAATATGGCTGCATACGTGTATAAACTATATAATTAATTCACGAAGAAGCTACATTTATGTAAAACAACCCTGTTCCACGAGCACTTTCGAGATCATGAGACGCAGGGCCTTTCAAACATCTGCGAACCAGCGCATGCAGAGTGGAAGCGCAGAGTCGGGGTCGCGAGCTAATTTGCCGACCACTAAAAAGGCCCATGATATAAATGCCACTTCAAATGACTTGAAAGCGGGATGTAATATCGTCCTAAATCATGAACATGAAAGGAACAGAATTGCAGCGTCTGAAACACTTGCGCCACCGCTTCACCGACCCTTCGCAAGATTGCCTTGTGTCGTGTGGACGGACGGGGAGGTTCATCGGCGGAATTACCTCCTCCGATAGCTTTCGGGATTTGTTACCCAATTTTAAAGGTAAAAAGGGCAAGCAGGCTTATAAAATGTACGGAAGCACGTCAATATCAGCCTAACTCAACGTCTTGTACACCGGGTACACGAAGTCCAGCTCCTCGAAGAGCTTCCGGGACACAACGCCAAACCGGGAGCCGGTGCTGGGAGGCGAGCCGATGCGAGGTAGCGGAGCGGAGTCCTCCGCCTGACGTCACGGTACACTTCACCCAATCAGGGCGTGGCGACGGCAGCGACGCTTGTGTTCGCTCTCGGGGCTGATACCGCGTTCCTTTCACCCCCCCCCCCCCTCCCCTTCACCCTTCCCCCCCCCCCCCCTCCCCGCAAACCGTCTCCGGACTTGATGCACAAAAGCGCGAGTCCTTTAGTTGCACCGCGGAAGCCGCCTTTTCCCGTCTAGACTCTATAGGGAAGGAGCGTTAACACCAAATTGACTTCTGAAGCCGCTACAGAACGCGCCCAATGGCGCGCCACTTTATTCACGCGCACTCCCCTAAAAGCTGCGGCGTGGGTCGACTCGCTCTATACTACTATCCCTATCCCCACACGCACACACACTTCTCTCCTCTCTCCCTAACCCCCCGAGAGTCAAGGACATCAGGGCCTCGTGCGCATACACGATTGACTCCCTCCCCCCCCCCCCCCTTTTTTTTAAACTTTATTTATTTGTTTTTTATTCACAACACGTATTATTACTGCGGTGGCTTTATTCGAAAGCGCCAACGCCGGGGACCGAACAGACTGGCTCTCCGAAGACAACGAACTCCTTGCGCGTCACGACAGCAGCGATTTCGGCATCATTTTGTTTTTATTGCTCGAGAGGACGAACTACGAAAGCATTTCGTTATTTCCTGATAGAGGAACGAGTAACGCTATTTTGTTACTTTTATTTCGGTAACCGGCGCTCTTAGACGCACCGGCGTGCCCACACACGCACACTCACGAGCATGAACACGCATTATCACGCACGCAGACAGACACACGCACGCCCCCACGGGGCTAACGCGCACCCACACACTTACGCACACACCCAGCTGTTAGCGCGGCTGTTAGCGGCTCTTTCGCTCGAAAGGACCGCTAACAGCTCTCACTGTAGAACAGCAGGATCTGGGCCAAAGCGAACAAATCACGTACACTGATAGCCGCTCTTCCGCGCGCTTAAAAAAAAAAAAAAATCAATTTTTGACCGCTCGCTGCCGCGTAAACAAAGGCCGCACGGGTGCGCCGCTCCTCCTAAGCCGCGAGAGCCGCTGAGGGCGTTCAAAGCGTGCCGCGTCTCTACCGCCGAGTCCGAGCCCACCGCACGAGCGGGCGCAGAAAGTGAACAAACGACCGAGCGGCATACGGGCAGAAAAAGATTGGCAGCGACCTTCATTTTCCAGGTTCTATTGAAAGAAATTGGCGCACTCAGAAAAAAGGGTGTATTCTTACACCCTTTGTCAAATATAATACACCCCAAAACTTCAGTTCAACGTACAACGCACCGACGTCAAACCGACGGCACTAACTTTAACAGGAGGCTTGATAGCCGAGTGGTACAACTAATGAAAACAGCTGATGTACGTGCTACTGATTATGAAACAAATCATCGGGGTTTTCTTGGCCTTACTGCGAAACCTTAGTGTTTTCTTTCTGTGGTCTTCGATACGTACTGCAGCTGTTTAACAAGTTATATCGCACCGTTATCAGGCCCGTCGTAACATTTGGAACGGTCTGCTCGACTATTGTGCCCTGTATGTCGAAGTTTTGGGGTGCATTACATGGCATAAAAAATGTAAGACGATATCCTTTTCCTTTTTTTAGTGTGTGAGGGAATAGGTGTTTTACGTAACGTATATTTTCCCGCTAAATTTAGCGGGTAACTGAATTGGTGTAAGGTCACGTGACGTCAATTTCCCGCTGGCTTTAGCGGGGAAGCTAGATTGATGTTTGGGACACAAGACTGAATTTTCCCGCTAAAATCAGCGGCGGAATTGAGTTGACGTATGGGTCACGTGCCGTCAATTTCCCCAACGTACATAGGTCACGTGACGTCCTTTGACGTCACGTGACGCCGCTTTCCCGCACAATTTAGTGCAAAATGCACAGACGGACAAAATTTTGGGATTGTGGGGTAGCACGAAACACCATTTCGTGCTTTAAACCGAACCAAAGAAGCGAACGCCGAGCATAGTTATCCTCCTGGCCAGACAACCCTAGACACTTCCATCCTCTCGTCCCACGGCACACAACCCGTGGACGGGGTTCCTAATTTTCATGCAAAACATGTCTTCAACCAATCAACAGTTCGACAAAACGCAGGCTTGCAAGAGCCTGCCATGCGGTGGCCATCATCAGGATCCCTGCAAAGCCTCCGACATGAAGTCATTGGCAAGAAAAATACCTCCCTTTAAAGGCCGACGTACCAACCTCGGTTTTCTGCAGGGAAGATAGTCCTGTTAGCGTTCCCCTCTCCTAAGCTGCAAGGGGAGCCAAGTTGTGGCATGGTAAAACGTGGACAGGATATAGGAAAGAAGGAGGCGGGTGTAAGGAAGCTGTGGCGGCCCCCTTTTTTCTTTGCGGGCAGGCGCTTGCGGTCACGCCACCGCCGTGGCCGCCGGGGGAGGGCGTCGGGGTCTTTCTTTGCCCTAAAACCGTTTTGTTTACGGGGTTTTGGTTAGGGTCGCAGGCCCGCCCGTGTTAGCGTCTTGGGGGACAGTAGGTTGTTCCCCCTGCGGGGGTCTGTTGCTTTCGGTGCCGGGGGGTGTCTGTGTTTTTGTGTCGTAGGCGTCCGCCGCATGTCGGCCTCGCCGGGCCGGGTCGGGTTCCACCTTGAGGGACCCGCTGACGGCGCCGTCCTGGCGGCAACCCAAAGCACTGGGGAAACTGCGAGACGTTCGGAACCGGCGCCGGTCTGTCTGCGACCGCTTGCGTGGGCGACTCTACGGAGCTGTCAGCCAAGGGCCGTTGCGAACTTGATGAATGACTGTGACGACCCCCGGCTGATCATTGGGCAACGGACCCCACGTGCCTTTCACGGGTTTTAAAACTATTGGTTGACCAATGCCCGAGAGAGAGGAGGTGAGGGTCCTCAAAGGCCGTTGCCCGAGCGGGAGGAGCGGATTTTGACGGAACTTCGGGAGTTGTTTGAGGCATCCTGCCCCAAAATGTCAATCCCCTACTTTGTACATAGCCACTGTACATAGTTTGTAACTGTAAATAAACAGTTGAAACTCTAACTCGCCGAGCTTTCATCGCCTGCGGAGTACCTCATCGACCGCCGGGCCATGCTCAACCATCGCAGGCCCAACTCCAAACTATCAGCGAACAGTTTCTGCGGGCAAGAGTGGAAAGCGCGAAGTATACATCGGCCTTCGAGCTAAAACAGAAAAAAAGGAATAAAGAAGCAAAACAAGCGGCATCCACATCGCTACGGAGCCATGGCGCGCCCTTGAGTCTGGCTGCCATTGCTTCACCTCGGCTTTGAACAGCAAAATATCAAAACCAAACTGAACGACGGCGAGCAGCAGAGTGAGGTGAACCAGCCTGATATTTAAAACTCGGTGATATCCGTGATATTTGTGAGTTCGTGATATTTTGTGATATCTTGTGAGCCGGTGATATTTCGGGATGTTCGTGGGTAGGTGATATTTCGTTTTATTTGTGAGTCGATGATATTTCGTGATATTTTGTGAGTCGGTCACTTTTCGTTATATTTGAAGTCGGTGATATTTTGTGATATTTGTGAGTCGGTAATATTCATTAAATTTGTGAGTCGGTTATATTTCATGATAATGCTGAGTCAGTGATATTTTGCGGAATTTCTGCTTTTAACTTCGGTGATATCGATGAATAAGGTCATGATGAAGGTCGTAGGTGATATGAGGGGTTGTTAATCTTTTTTTTTTATCTTTAAGCTCTATGATTTCAGTGGCGGTGACTTTTGAATGATGGGCTCTGTGATATGACTGGAGGTTACTTTTTGGTCTTGAAAAACTTCGTGATACGAGTGTGAATGAATTCCGAAAGTAGCTTAGTGAAAGTGATGTGATATTGAATACTCGGATCCAAAATGCCGACCTATTACCCTGGTTGTCAGTGAAAATGGTTGCAGCTGGACGTACCTTAAGGCTGGGCCCCAAGGCGTACTTTGTGCGGAGGAACTTCTGCAGGTGGTTGACGGTGAAGGCTGCGGGACAGTTCAGGAACCGACGCGGCCCCTGCCGGTCATCATTGCCCTGGTGGAAAGATGCGCGCTCAGTAACACCTCGCAGATAACAACGCCCCAGTGCTAAACTGCCACCGTCACCTAAACGCGTAGGGCCACTGATGTACCCCTCCCAAATTAAGACGAAACCAAGCGGCGAAGGCTCGAACTACGGTTGGCGTCCCGACTGGGATTTAAGCTACACTCTAAAAAAATTCCGAGCCTCTACTTTCCCGCACAACACTCAGAGAGCCAATCACCGCAACTTTAGGCAGCTCAGCGAATAACGATGCCTAAACTTATGTTTAGACTAAGAAACGCACTCCGAGTTGTGACATTAAGCAATGCAAAACGTCACGCTTGCATTGCTTAATGTCACAACTCAGACTGCGTTTTTTGGTCTAAACATAGGTTTCGACATCGTGATTCGCTGAGCTGCCTCCGTAAGTTGCGGTGATTGGCCCTCCAAGTGTTGCGCGCGAAAGTAGACGCACGGGCTTTTTTAACCGTGTACCTCTTCTGTCTTCTCCGCGACTCATCTGGGTCTCGGAAGAACCAAAAGAGGTTGCCAAACTCCCTTTCAAGACGCCACACATTGTTCGATTCGAGCTTTCGCCGTTGTGTAAGGAGCGCCTGTAGATAACTATTCCCGAAAAATGTAAACTTGTCCCGATCATTCTGATAAACCCGGGACGCGCATAATGTGTACTGCGAGCGTTATGCATGCGTTATGAATAGTTATGCGAGGTTACGGGGAGCTTTGGGTTGTCTCGGATGCCTTACGCATGCAACAATTATGTGTTCCCCGAGCTCATAAAAAAAGTTTTTTTTTTGGAAGACAAATTTGAAGTTATTGCGAAGGGAGGTTTATCGCACACGCTAAGCAATCTATGCGGCTATGGTTGACAGTCTGGACTCCGCGCTTATTGCCCCCCTAGTGAGTGACGTCGAAAATCCAACACCTCGGCCGCTTGGAAGAGTTGGTCCGGCGACAACAGAGGCAGCGAAGCCGCACACCGCCGCGGTTAACCGTAACCGCCTCGCGGCAGGAGGCGACCACCGGCGCCCCACGCGACTTCAACAATCGCCGACGGGGAGAGCCGGAAGGGGTCGAAGATTTGTACCGCACCGCGCCGCCGCACCGCGAGGCTCGGTTTCCCCTCGGCCTTTCCTGGTCGGTCGGGTCGACCCCGTGACAAAGCAATCACGCCGGCCCGTGCTCTCTTTGCCTCCCCAGGCTGTCCTCTTTATCGTGCCGGGCACGGCCTCCCGGGTTGTGTACTTTACTTTCATTTTTTTTTTACTGCCCTCAGAATGGAGCGTCAAGCTGGTGTAAAGCGTCTTCGTGGACAAGCGGCAGTATAGGAGCATTTATGGAGAGAGTGCTTCATTAAAAGGGCCTTCCCCACTTAATGTGTCTCCAAGCGCTTTTTGGGGTGCGTGGTTTTCGTGTATTGCAATTGGTCGACTGAATCGCTATCACAATGACGTCACTCGCTTTAAGTGCCTGATCGGCCGGCCAATTTCACCTAAAATAATGCGAGCCCGTGAACAGCCTCATCTGGCTTCGCGTAACGCGATCGGGCTATAGACCTTTCCGGAAAAGGGCCGCTGGCCGGTTTCATTTTCAGTGTTCGTGCGTATCGCGCGTCATTTGTTCGCATTCCGAAGCGACGCACACGCGCGTGCTGAGCTGTGGAGGTCGCACGCTGAGCTGTGGATTTGTAAACATTGGAAAGGTCTATAGGATGGCGCAAACTCAGGGTACATGGCTGGAGCCCGACGCCTAGCAGGACACTGACGAAGCAGCACTCGTATCCAATCTCTCACTACACTCAATTTCTCTGTAATGACCCTGTAACGTAACACTGTACGTCAAGAAATGGTCATGGTGACACGGTGACGCCACGGCACAACGACGAACCCATAGTGGCGCCGATGCGTTGAATTTATATAGTGTACGCCCGCGGTGTATCGAGCCTTCGTTACAACTCTTCGTAACGATCTGGATGTTGAAAATAGCCCATAAAAACATTCTGCATTAAGGAAAACAAAAAAAAACGACGCACGTGTGTTTGGTCGTACGCGGTGTCGCATTCTGTACCGCCGCGCTCGTCAGCAGTGCAGAAGTGAGTTGCTGACACTGTCGGGTCAGGTGGAGTGAAGCGACCAAGCGAAGGGACAAGGTCTTAGTTTTCCTGGCTGCTTCGGGAGCCCACAGAGTATCTGTTCCAACGGAGCCCTGGACTAAGGGCCTCGACCGGGACTCGTCAGTCTCCTAACCTTTTGAAAAATAAAGTTATACCACCACCACCACGCGGAAAAGACGCCGCTAAGCGGGCGCTGTTGCTCTCCGCGCAGAGAGAAGTGCGCGCAGATTTCTGGCGCTGCCAAGAACCCGAAAGCAGATGAGCCAAGAATAGACCACCTCGGGAGAGCCACCGACTGGCGCGTCGCCTTCGTGGCTCCTCCGCGTACCCGTCGGTCGCCGGCCGTATACGTTTAGTGCGTCGAGTTTTTACAGCCGTACCTCGTCTTCTCTCAATTACGCGAAAAAGCCGGCTTCGTTGATTTTTTTTTTTTTTTTCTCTCGAGAATGCCTGAGAATTTCGCCATTCGTTTAGACTCGCAGTGGTCTCAAACTCATTTGAGTCTGGGGGCTAGGCAGCCCATACCGGAAAGGTCGAGGGCCAACGCAACACGTAGGTGGGGTGGGGGGGAGTCGGACGATTTTAAAGAGAAGAGGCCTTTGCGCTTTTGTAACTCAGTTTTGCCAGTGACATGTTTAGTTTTGCTTTGTTTATATGACTACTTTGGAGCCTGACGTCATGTGATAACACGAATTGAAATGACACCGCCCCGCCGACGTGGTGCCATTTTTAATGGAACAAGAGAGCAAGTGCACTTTCATTTTCGTTGCACAATTCACGGACGAATTAACCAAGATCAACATATCTCTAAAAAAATCAATCAATTAATTTGACAGTTCTTGCTTTCCTGACGATTTTTATTACAACACTCTGAACAAACACTTTGAACGCTCTAATCCCGAGCTCATAGCTTTATCTTTGGCAACTACTTCTGCCGATCGAGAGTCCGTGCAGCCCGAGATGCATCCTTCAACGAAAAGTTCGTGCTTGCAGCAGTAGAGGAATCATTGTAAATTGCAAAAGGCTGGGAACCAAAAAAATGAAGACAAAAACAAAGGGCAAATGAACACAGATAAGTATAAGCTATGTGAATACGTTAGAAGAGCAAAGCTACTTTTCGAGCGAAAATGAATCGGCGAGATGAGATCACTATGGCGCATGCCATTTCCAGCGCATGGGAACCGCGACTCGTAGCCGGCTGCCTGCGGGCCGCATGCGGCCCGCGGGCCGCGTGTTTGAGACCCCTGGCTTTAGAGTGTGTTACCTTTCAAAGCATGTTGTGAATTTTCACTCGGCAAGAACTCCTAACTCTTTCACTTTCAGCTCCCCAAAAAAGAAGAAAGTTTCCATTTGCGTGATGTAGTATCTTTGGGAACATCCGCGATTCGACGTTATTTTTGTGCACACCTCTGCACACAGGAGTTCCTTTGAACAACATCACGAATAGTGAGCGCACCATCACGTAAATATATGCGGGAGAAACGGACTCAAATTACAGCTTGTGTGCGGAACGCACGTTTACTTTTGAAAACCTAAATAACCACTCGTCTCGCCTATCTTGGCAGATTATATTTTCTGTCGATAATATGCCAGCTAAAGCCGAAATCTAAAAAGCTAATTAGTAAACGTTAGGTTACTATTTCAATAATTCTTATCACGCCACACTCGCGCCCTGACGTCCACCACGGTCGAGAAAGTGATGCTCAGTTCGTTCTTTGCTCCGAGTGTCCTCGCATAAATTATTTGCAACCTAAAAAAAAAAAAAAATTTATTGAACTAAGTCGTTTGCGCGAGGTGTTTCAAAACCAAATATTTGCTATTCGAACGCTGTGCTTTTAAACTTAATGAAAAATTTAAAAAAAAAAAAAAGGAAACGCTGTGGGAGTTTGTAAACTTCGATGCAAAATCACGCGATATCGGAGTCGTCAACAAGATCCGCGATAGCCGACTCTCCGAACTTGTAGCACGGAGGCATGACAAAGAGCCGATCAAGTTACTTCTCGTCTTCCATCAAGCGCGTGCGGTTCCTTGATTTGAACAGGGTCTAAATCGCGCGACAGTCTGCGGCAGTAAAGTACTTTGACTGCTCTCTGCAGCTCAATGAAACAAACGGTTCCGACCGTTCTGCAACGGCTCCCTGTGAGAGGTTGAGTTTGATATTGGTTAGACAAGACTGTCAGTGACAATTCTTTGACTGCAAAATGCGAGGCATAGCGTTGGTCTAAAAAATAGCTTAAGAGGAACGTTCTTCCGTCTAAACATTGCGAGCAAGAACAGCCCGACGAGAATCGGGAACCGTTCAGAACAGGCGTTTCCATATTCCGTTACACAGACGGAGATGGGCTTGCGCCACAAAACAAAACGTAAGCAAGGCCGATAATTTAGCGAAGCTCCGAGTAAAAAGGAAAGAGAACGACAGCGCCGTTGCCCCATCGATCGCTTTGCTCTGCGACATAGTTATCCCTACGATACCATTTCAACTCGTGTACCCACGAACGGGTGATCGAGTGTTTCGACGTATACACGAACGAGGCGTTCAAGGAAAATTGCAGACACCGTTCGAGGGCATTTGTGCGCTCTCTTCTTCCTCCATAATGAATAATCGTACCACTCAGTCGGCTGTTTTACAGTCTCAGTCCTTATCGGCGACGTTTCGCAGCAGCATATACCCGGGCGTGTTTTCTGCACGTGGTCGTCGCTGGGAAATTTTCTTCGTCCAAGTTGGTGGGAAAGTTCCGCCGCTAAACGTCGCAGTGACATCACGGCACGTTATAAGAATTAGTCGAGCAAACAGCACGACGTCACCATGTCATCACTTGGTGCTGTGACGTCACCTGACGTCGGTTAGTCAACAGGATGATCGTGTATAGTCTGTGTTGCGGAGAGCCTCGGCTGTCGCCACAGTCCACTTGCAAAACGGTGGCGAGATACCGAAAATGTGTAACCCCAGCGAAAATGTGTAATCCCAGCGTTGCTACGGCACTTTTGGAAACTCGCGCAGGGCCGACGTCTGGGAGCATGCATCCTTCGCCACGACATTCGCCACTCCCTGTTCCCAGAGCAAGCCTCATAATTTACCCGTCTTTGCTTCTCGAGAGAGCCCCGACGAGAAGAAAAACGCTATAAGTGTGTCTCACACTTATGACGCCAAAATGTATAGTCGAAATATTTGTATCATAGCATCATACCGGAATATACTTTCAGAATACTTACAAAGTACATTTTAATATAATCTGAGGTAAATGAACGGCAACCCATAACACTAGAGCATGAGGAATGGCTGATTCCACAATACCTCTAGCGTGCTTTCTGACCAGATGTGCGTGTGAAACCAATCAGGCAAGGTGGACACATTTAACGTTTTTATACGCGTTAACTAAAAATATGATTTTTTTTTTAAAGTTCTCAATTGGTTTACGCAAGTAGGAGAATCGCTTTTTGTCATGGGTATTGGCGCGCATATTCCCTACCCTGGGTATGTGTATGACCTGCGCGCGTTCTTTACCTCAGGGTACGAATTGGGAACCCGGCATGAATGTTGCATTTCCTGTAGGCGAGAGCCCGGCAGACGCCTAACCGGCCTTCAAAACCTCTCTCTAAAATTTCACTATGGCATCCCAGCACACGCGCGTCCGGTAGAGGGAGAGGCAGGAGCCGCGAGGCTCGACTTACCCCGTCATCGGCAGCGTCGGCAGCGCACTCTTTCCCGTCGTCTTCAGACTCCCGATCCTGCGTCGTGCTGCACAGGCGGGAGAGGTCACGTGACAGCCGGGACGCAGGGAATGAGCACCCCAGAAACCACGCTCAATAAACAGGTGCACTGTCGAGACCGGTTATAACGAAGTAGGTTATAACGAAATAGCGGCTTCAGCGAAGCGATCACGATTTCCCATTCCCCTTTGCACTTCGTTATAACCGAAGTCGGTTATAACGAAATAGCGGATATAGCGAAGTGATTTCCGATTCCCGTTGACTGCGTTATAGCCAGTCTGGGCAGTATAGCCTCTGGGATCGACACGACCCTCTTTGTCGAGCGCAATCCCAGGAAAACGCAGCACGGGGCGAAAGCTCACCGTCCTATCTGCCAATGACCGAAACGAACGTCTGAACCTTTACTCCCAATATAGAGCTCTTTGACAGAACTCTCCGAGTACTGAAAGCGGCCACGGTCAGTCATGAAATTCAGCTGCGCGCGAAGTGGTGGAAGCTTACCAGGACGCGAAACTAACCCAAGATTCGGGTAGAATGCGAAGAAACAACCGAGTGTCAGAAGGGAGGCGGAATGGGGATATACAACGCGTGTCAAACGTTGTCTGGCGCCTTTTTTTTTTCTCGTTCCTTCTGTTTTTGTAAAATTTAAATTTTCCTTTTTAGTTTATACTAATATCCGGCCAATTGCTCATATGCCGAGTCATAGTAGCCAGAGTACGGTGTCAAATCACCCAGGGTGAAAATAGCGGGAATCTCGCGAAATAGCGTGTATACAATGTCTTACTTGCCGAGTGTTTATTTGACACTTAAATAAGCCGTTCAGATTTGCCTCCACGATTGTATTTTAAAACAAGCTGGCAACGAACCCGCCCCCCCCCCCCAAAAAAAAAAAACAAAAAAAAACAACAACAACAACAAAAAGACACGTATCTTCCTTAAGTTTTTTTTTCTTCTTTGTATTGTTGCACTTGGTCGACGAAACAGACTCCGTCGACAGCGGCGCGGAAGGTGGTGCCGTATTTCCACGCTCAGTTTAATTGTATATTTACAGCGACTACGCTTCCCTCTCTCCACGAACGCAACTTTTCGCGCTATAGTGCACTCTTCACAAACGTTGGCGCTCTCGCGTTTCGAGGCCCATCCGCACATTTGCGGCCCGTGTATGGGGCGGCGTCCTTGCGGCACCAAGTGTCTGCTTCCGGTAGGAAGTACACCATTGCTCACCGCGACGCACGAAAGTACAATAATGAAGTTTATTTCCTATTCGATACAGGAATGGAGGAAACAGAGGGAAAAAGCTGTTTAACAGCTTGACGGAGCCCCCTGCTCCCTTACAGTTCCACATGACAGATTAGAAATACAAAGCAACAGCAAAAATATCAACATTGTATACAAAAATCGACTATAACCAATCGCAGAAAAGTAATATATTCGATTCAAATAAGAAAATAAATCTTGCATTGTGACAGACATTATATCAACGTTTTTTGTTTAAGAGGAAATTTAGTAAAGTAGGTAGCATATACTTTAGAGACTGCGTGGAATAGTTGTTATGGCAAAGAGGCACAGCCCAACGTGCCGCCGAACGAGTTGGATAGGAGGTAACATGTTCCCTTAGTTTAGAAAGTTTGGCCAAAATATCAACGTTTCTTTTTTTTTTTTTTTTTCTACCTTAAAACGGAAAACGAATCAAAAACACGCAACAAATTATATTTTTCAAACAAACCCTTGGAGCTTGAAATATAAGAAACATTAGCAATGAGGCGAACAAATTTTTTTTTGTAATAGATGTATTTTTTGTAGATTTGAACTGGTGGTTGTACCCCATACCAGGTGGCAGTAGTTTAAGTGAGATGCAAATAGAGTTTGATAAATAAGTAGTTTAACGTTGTTTGGTAAAATAGAACGGTTTCGTGAGACTAATCCCATGACCCTGGACAATCGAGGAAGTATATAGCTTATATGCATCGTCCCAAGACAAATACTGGTTAAAAATAACGCCAAGACTTTTGAAATTTTCCACTATCTCTATAACATTTGAATTTATTACGAGACTTTTCGTTATAAAAACGCTCTTATTTTTGGTTTAAAAGAAAATTGCTTTGGTTTTACTACTATTAATTTTAAGCCCGTTGTCGGATGTCCAATTTTTCAACCCCGTTAAAGTATCATTTGCGCAGTTGATAAGCTCATCACTAGTCTTAGCCGAAAATAAAAGGGTTGTATCGTCTGCATATATAACAAATTTAGCGAGAGAATCTATGTTAACAATATCATTAATATAAATGTTAAATAGCAAAGGTCCCAAGATACTCCCCTGTGGTACACCGGAGAAAACAGACTTTGTATTAGATGAAAAGCCATTTAAATAGACAAACTGCTTACGATTACTCAAATATGACTGAAGCAACGTAAGTGCTTGGCCCCGAATTCCATAAAGATAAAGTTTTTTTTAGCAATAAATTATGGTTTAGATAATCGAATGCTTTCGTAAAATCAATAAATACGGCTAAAGCTATCTGGTTTGCCTCAAAACTCTCTAAAATAAATTATTTTTGTTCTAGTAATGCTAAATCTGTAGAACGGTGCTTCATGAACCCAAATTGATCATTAGTAATTACGCGATACTTATTAAAAAAATTTGACAGACGAATGTGAATAAGTTTTTCTAAGCCCTTAGAAAAAACCGGTAAGATAGAGATAGGTCTATAATTATTTATGTCGTTCTTATCTTCCTTTTCGTTGAGTTGAAAAACATAAACTAAAAATGGAAGTAAGGAAGGGAGTGATCAGCGGTAAAACATATTTTACCGGCCGAATCTGCATACCATCGGCATCACAGCTATGGCTATTTTTTAATTCCATAAAGACAGTAGACACCTCTGTATCAGTAACTGGCAATAGAAAAATAGAATCCCTAGTTTTAAAGGTTATATTATCACAAGCAGCATCTCCACAGTTCATTTGAGGCAAATCAACAAACCTGTCATTAAATGTGTTCGCCAACGACACGCCAGTTAATTTCTTCCCTGTAGAAATAATGCATTCTACACAATGGGACGTTTTGCCTTCTATAACTGAATTTAAGTTCTTCCACATAAGGTCAGAACGGCCTACAGAGTTTCTAAAGGAATCATGGTGATAGCCCTCCCTTGCTTTTCTCAGGGCGTTTGTCAGTTGATTACGGTACGATTTAAAAGTCCGAAGGTCATTGGGATCTCTAGTTTTTGTGAACTTTCTATATAGCGCATTTTTAACCTTTATGTTTTCAAGGAGATCTACAGTTATCCATGGTTTCCGAATGCGTTGCTTCACTTTAATTAGCTTGTAAGGAAAATTGCTCTGATAAAGGCTTTTAAACCGCTCAAGAAACAAATTGTACGCCTCATCGGGATCGCTCTTTGAAAAGATATCAACCCAATTTGTATTTGCCACACATTCCGCGAACCTCTCCAAACCATCCGGCGTGACACACTGGACTTGCGCAGAAGGTGTTGAATCATCCTTTTTTGCGTTATTCATTTTGACACACAAAAAAATAGGAAGATGATCACAGAGGTCATAGTTAATTATGCCAGATCTTATACGACTTTCCGCGTAATTTGTTATAAATAAATCAATCGAGGTTTTTGAGGTAACATTAACTCTGGTCGGAGAGTTTATTACAGTACGAAAACCATTTATAAGTATTAAATTTTCCAACTCCCTCTTTGAAACAGTATTACTTAACATATTCACATTGAAATCGCCGCCGCGTATAATGTTCAGCTTGTTTTTATTTGCCAAATCAAAAAGGGCGTTCAGAAAATCCAAGAAAGGGGACAAGGCGCCTCCAGGGGGGCGGTAAATGACCGAAACAAAGTCGTTTTTTGTTCGCAATGATAAAGCCTTGTAATCTTTAGTGATAACGGTAAACGAAGGCAGTAACTCGGAATCAACGCTTTCTTTAATCAAAATTGACCCCCCCCCCCCTTCCCTCGGGTTTGGCTGCGATTGATAAAAAAAACATTGATACAAAGGCAATCTGGAAACATCGGTATGGTCCGTGTACCATGTTTAAGAAAGCATAATAATCTCGAAATCGGAAAGCTCAGGAAAAAAACACTCAAGATCACCGCTTTTATTTTTCGCTGATCGAATATTAATATGTAAACAGTGAGTTGATAAAGAAAACTCTTCTCCGATAAAAGCTTCAAACTCAGAAGGCAATACATATTCTGAGACTGCCATTTCAAAAGAAAGTATAAACAGAAAAAAAAAATGCAGAGAAAGAGTGCACACACCAGTTGCTTAGCTGATGTTTGGCAAATCGTGTTCACTCTTTACTGTTTTGGCAGGGTCACCGGTTTTGCTCCTGACAAAGATGTTACCATTTCGGTGCCAAACATACTGAAAATTGTGTTCTCTTGCCCATTGTTTCGTAGACCGCAAGAGCGCTTTATCTTGACGAGTCATATTTTCCAGATCATACTCGTTATCATTGGGGCGTTTAAGGTTGCGTCTTTTGTCCAGCCAGCGATCGCGAGTCTGTTGTTGCGTGAAGTGCAGAATTATACCAGGGATCTTTTCTGGTTTAGAAGGGAGCCTGCGCATTGAAACAATTTCGCATGGGACGAGAGTCGGAACATCTACACTTAGCAGCTACCTCATTAACCAGGGACAGCAAGTTTTCATTTGCGGTTTGTGGGACCCCGTGGATTTCCAGGTTTTGTTTTCTTTTGTGCCATTCCATTCGATTCAGCTCCCGTTTCAACTCTGTAAGTCGTCCTTCCCGTCCCGGCGTTCTCGATTTCTTCCACACGTTTTGTAAAACGTTTTATGTCTTTGTCATGCTGGCCAACAGTCTTCAGTAGTTCATCATACTGGTCAGACATGTTTTGAACAGAAGTTTCAATGAAGAATACGGTTTGCTTCACACTCAACAAACTGTTCAGTTTCAGGTTCATGCTTGTAAGCAAGCTGTTCACATCGACTTCGGCCCGGGCTCAAATTTCCGTCGCACTGTGTTGCGGCAGATCAATCAAGAAAAAGACACGGAGAGTCACGTGCTGCCCCGTGCTCGTCAGCGACGCGCATAAGGTTCCCCGCTTAGGGACGGGTTCTTGCTTCCGCTTTTTGAGGAGCTGCGGGAACTAGGGTCGCGCGGTCCTCCTGACATGTTCTAAAAAAAAGCCAGAATTTCACTTTTTTTTAAATTATTTTGCTACCATGTCGTTTGTAGTGATATATATAATTTCATTTGAAACTCGACCATCCAAACCCCTCTCCAGAAAATTAAATTACAGAATTATTTTAACTTTATGATGGCTCTGGATGCGTCAAAGAGAATTCTAAAAAGCTTCACCGCGAAAGACAAAATAGTGCTGGCTCGTAAAAAAAAAAAAAAAAAAAAAAAAAAAAAAAAACTATTTTTGGGGGGATTTGCCAAATTATCAACCCAACCGATGAACCAGCTATATTAAACTGTTTGCGGTTCGAGCGTCAATCTGAATTTAATCGATCAACTGCCCAGCCCTAGTGGGGACGCGGCAGGCTTTTAAATGGTCCACGCTGGACAAAGTCCCGGAAGCCTGCGGGATCGTCCCAAGATCGGCCACCACCTCGACCAACCTCGATGCCGTCGCCGGGTGCCGCCATATTGTCGTGGATTTCGTTCACTGCTGGAGATCCGGAAGCGACGATGGCGCTTCCTTATTGGCATCTTGACTTCCGTGGACTGCCTTTCAACGCAACTGTGCGCCCAAGCTTTGTGAAAACGGTCTCTGTAACGTTCTGCTGTCGCTTGCGACAAATGAACGCATCGCACTCAAACGCAAATGTGTTTATGGGCCGTTCAAGAACGACCCCTGCTAACGAACAGCCGGTGGTGCTCGACGCGTCACTTCCGGTGTTCGGAGCGTCACTTCCGGACAGGCGTCGGACAAGCAAACGGATGATCGGAGGGTGATCTCGTGAAGATGGTTTGAGATGGGTCGTGTCGTGCCCATTCACCCACTCACCCGGTGAAGTACTCGAGGGACACGCTAACGGTGTCCTGGGGGCTGAAGATGAGCCTGCTTGAGGCCTCCACCACGCCGCGGTCCTCGAGGCACGACACCTTGGAGGCTGCAATGCACGAGCCGAAAGAGGGAGAAGGGCGGCGTCAGGTCCACCCACGCGGTGGCTGAGACACCCACAGAGGGCCAACCAAAGGGCCGGAACACGTCCGTCCTCTCCCTTGAAGTTAAGGAATACAGTTGAAAACAATCGTGGTTCGCGTGGTCAGTGCGGTGAAAAGAAACCCGCTTGCCTGCTCCATGGAACAAACCCATCAAGCGTTAAAAGGGACAAAACACAAGCCAAAACGACGTAAGAACGTATATAGTAAAAGGTATTTCTTTAGGAAGAAAAAAAACCGCCAGTCAAATAATAATAGTAAAAAAAACACAGTGGCTACAGTATATTTAGGCAAAAGCTGTCAAGTGGCAAAAACCAGAGACAGCCCCGGCGAGTCAATTAGATTGCCGAAGGAGAGCACGTGACAAGATACCGTCAGAGTAGAATTCCCTGCAGAGAAGTTACGTGTTCCGCTTCTTCACTCTAATTGACTTCTGCGGCCCGCAGCTTTGGCCCTTCGTTAAGTCTTGCTGAAATGGAGTATAGCAAATACGTTTTGATGGCATATCCGCGGAATTCCAGCTTATCTCCCTGCTTACACGGCTGCTGCGAGCCAGTCGACGGCCCATCGACCCCACAAAGGGCGAGGCTTCGGCATTGGTTCATCCGGCGACAGCCTACATGACACTGACCATCTGTATACGCTACGACGGGGCTTACCTGCGTCGGGATGCTGGTCGTAGAACTCCTGGCGCTGCTTCATCTCCCCTGGGGAAAAAGAGGACGACGAACGCTCACACCTAGGGTGCCTCAATGTCCTTCTGCTTAGGGTGATGCCATCGTTTGTAGTACCCGATGCCGACAGCACGCGCTCACAGGCAAAATACAAAGAAATCGCAGGAAACAAAATGTCGCCGTAGCACAGTCAGCGCCACGAGCACGTGCAGGGACACGCTCTTTCGCGCGCTTCAGAACAAAAAATAAAAATAAGCGTTCGAAACAAAATGGCCAGATGTCATCACCCCAAGCAAAGCGCACATGAAGGCACCCTACTCACACCGAGCCTAATATGGTCCCAGCGAGGAACAAAACACTAAACTAGGAATGGAGCAGCCAGAAGAACGTGGACTGTCAGGTGACGGGGAACTCTAAAAACAAGTCCAGGAAGACTTGTTTCGATCCAGTCATTCCCGTCCTGGGGCGTGTTACCTTTCAGTCCCGACACCAGAGAAACTACTAACACTCGAGAACATCGCTTACTTTGGTAGAGTCCCGGAACCACCTTGTAGACGATGTCCTGCAGAGTTTTGTCCACCCTGGAAAAGGATTAGGAAAGAATGACTGAGTGTCGAGGGGGGGGGGGGGGGGGGGGGGCTTTAGAAAGACGGGCAGGGAACGGAGGCACGCAGACCTGTGCGACCGGCCCTTCCAGCAAGGCTGCGGAGCGATGGCGCTTTTACCGCCGCTCAGTGTGACCCGATATGGTATATGCGCCTACCTGAGGCAACTGAGCGGCCTGGACTTGTGGACGGGCACGTCGCAGATGGGGCACAGCTTGCTGGTGTCCAGGTAGCGCACGATGCACACCTTGCAGACTGCACGGAGAGAGGGATGACACGTCCCCATCAGTGCCTCCCATGAGAGAGGAAAAAGAAGGCACACTCACAGGAGTGGAGGCAATCGACCAGCGTGGCCGCGTTCACCAGGTAGCCCCCGCACAGCATGCAGGACAGCGCGGCGTTCAGGTCGCGCAGCAGGGCGCGGGGCATCCTCCCGGAACGCTGCCCTTCTCCTCCTCCTCGGCCGTCACGCTGCCCATGTGGACAAAAGGAGAATGAAACCAAATTTAACAAAAGAGATTGAAGTCTTCACCAATGGACCTGTTTAGGGGCGGAACTAAGGGACACCTGGTTTTTGACAGGAGGGTGGCGAGGAAGTTAAGCATTCGCTTCGGCGGATAACGTCACCTCATGAGCGCGAGCAGTGCAAAGCAACCACGCCACGTTTTCAGATATCGCGGGCCAAATTACCTGAACTCCGCAACTCTTAAGAAGAAAAAAAGAAAAAAAAGTTTTTTTGTAGTCTTTTTTTAGGGTGGCGGGGGGGGGGGGGGGGGGGGCGAATGCAGACGACTCTGGTGAATAGGCCTCCTTTCGGATGTTCTCTATGTAATCGCTAAGGGGCGTCGATTTTACTGGAGTGGCGAGTATACAGGACATCCTCAGCATACCTTCCGGCGCCCCGGAGGGCGCTGTATACGTTTTTCAAAAGGTATATTGTCTTATTGAATGGGTTAAAACAGCGCAGAAAGACGAAGGACCAGTAAAAGAAACCACACAGACACAGCGCTGTGTCTGTGTGGTTTCTTTTACTGGTCCTTCGTCTTTCTGCGCTGTTTTAACCCATTCAATATGACCATCAACCAACTCGCCCAACTTTCCACCTTGTTGTATATGTCTGTTTAGGCGCTATGCGGAGTCCCGAGATTTTCGCAGTGTGTTGCTCAAACACGTTCCTTTCGCAGACTAGGTGAAGGAGTCTTCGGTAGAGGGAAAACAACCATCCAAAATGTCACCGGCAAATATTTTATCACTCTTTTTTCCCCGAGCGTTTTTGACTCAAGTAAGAGACGGATTTCACCGTGTTATCGAACACAGTCTGAGCGACAGAAGCCTCCAAAGACCTGAACAAGTTGAGCGTGATGCCAGCGCTTCATGGGGCACTGATGCCATAAAGGTCATATTTTTTTAAATATTTTTGTTGTTGTCTAAAACGATGTAAATTGTAACCGTAGTCACGCAAAAAAAAAAAAAAAAAAGAATATTGCAACGCGAAAAAAAAAAAAAAAAAAATCAAGCGCGCGCCAGGGCTTTTTTATTTTTGCCGCCCTTCTCTCCCGCTGCTCCCCTCCTCGCTTCAATTGATTTTTGACGACAAATCGCGGCCGGCCCTAGGGGTGGGCGACCGTGCTTGACTTGGGGGCGGGGGGGGGGGGGGGGGGGGGGAGTATTTATTTGGATACGCTACGACGGGCCCTAGACGACGCTATATATGCTCGATTGCCGTTCATTTTTGGAATGCGGTTCTCGACTGACAAAACGCTCATGTTGGGTCACTACCCATATGTTTCCTTACAACGTGATGTTGTATCTAGCCAGGTAGGGGTGTATAAAAAAAAGGGGGAAGGGCGCCACGGCCGGAGTTTGCCCAGGGCGCTTGATGGTGTAGGGCCGGCCCTGCGTCCAATATTATTAAATTTAAAAGCTTGGTAAGCGACATTTCTATAACATTTAATAACGGCATTCGTAAAACGTGTGTTTTAACGCAATTGCAAGCGTACTACGGCCCTTTTTGAAATACCGAAAATGGGAGTCCGAAGTGATGCCGTCCCTTGGCTTTTCACCCTCCCTCGGAAAATATGGCGGCGCTTGACGCAGGTAGCAGAGGATGATCGATGAGTCGGGGTATCGGACGAATTGGTCTTTTTGAGCTGCCCGACGACCTCTCAGACGTTGAAAAGTGAATCGCCAAACGGTCAAAAAAAACTGAGTTTGGTGTCTCTTTATTGAGTTTCGGTTGTGACTCCGCCTGGGCAGCCCTTCACGCAGCACCGGCGCGACGCGGCCCCTCACGTCGCTAACCAAAGTCTATATATTGCGCGTTCGCTTATGCCTTAGCACCCTTTTAAAGAATTTGAGATCGTTGAGAGGGCCCTAAAGGAACTTCAAACTCGAAAGTGAAGCGTCGTCTGCTCGCAGCCGGTTGTTCGCGGGACGCCGGCGAACACGACCCTTCGGGTGGCGGCGCTTCGGATCGGAGGCGTCAGAGAAACTCCACCCGCGGGACGGCCCAATATTCGAAGTTTGAAGTTCACTGGCGTGAACTTCAAATTCAACAAAAGAAAAAAAAAGTTTTTTTTTTTATTTCCCAAATATTGAATTTTAAAGTTTCAAATTTCGAAGGGAATGTCCACGGATCGTTTTCAATCGTTTGGGACAATAGAAAAAAAAAATATTAATTTTGACGTGTCAATGCCTTTCTAATGCGCCTCCGTTGTCGGGACAGGCCATTCCGTGTCTTAGTTTCTAATTTGCTTCCCGTCCCGTCAAAGGCAAACGCAGTCCGAGAGTCGTTCCGCGGCAACTGCCTGCGGCCCCGAGCTCAAATGCATGAAAAAAAATAGAGCTTGAAATTTCCGATAAAATATTCGTTAAAAAAAGCAACTGAAATTCGTCTATTTTTAATTAATTTACAACTCGGGATATTAATAAACTTCGAGCGTTAAACTAGCGAGGAACTGTTTTGCACACAAATTATTTTACCGTTCCTGCACGAAATTTATGGTGTGAGTTTTTACAATACAAAGTCATTAAACATTTCAGTCTCAATTTTTTTTTTTTTTTAGCCAAGTGCTGTATTTAGCGGTTTGGGGGCCTAGGAGCATTTTGCGGGGACCAGTTTGTTTGGGACAATTATGACCGAAATCACGACTCCGCGGATCATTTTCTTTGGAACCCTTTTGTTGGCGATAATTTTTTCGGGGACCATTTTGCCCGGGATCAGCTTGCTGGGGCCATTGCTCTCGGGGGAATATTTTAATTGAGTAATTTTTTTAGAACCATTTTGACCGGGGTCCTTTAACCCGGACCATTTTGTTTGAGATCACGTGCCTAAACCCATTTTCTGTGGAACAATTTTTTTTTTATGGATAATTTTTCTACGGATTGTTTTATCCGAAACCACTTAGCCAGGTACCAATTTCTCCGGAATCAGATTGCTGAATCCCGTTTTCTCTGAGACAATTTTGTTTGGGCTCATCTTTATGGGGACCGCTTTGTCCGGGACCATTCTCCCTGCGACCACTTAGTCCGGAATAAACGTTTCCGAGGCCCCATTTTCTGTGGGTCTAAATAGTTCTAGATGAGGGGTCTCAAACAGGCAGCCCGCGGGCCGCATGCGGCCCGCGACTCGCTGGGACGTGGCCCGCCGGCAACCGGCTACAAGTCCCGGTTCCCATGCCTCGTGCACTAGAATTGGCATGCGCCATAGTAATCTCATCTCGTTGATTTCTTTTCAATCGAAAAGTAGCTCTGCTCTTGTAACGTATTCTAATAGTTTAGACTTGTCTGTGTTTATTTGCCCTTTGTTTCACTTTATTTCTAGCCTCCCAGCTTTTTGTAATGTACAACAATTGCACTTCTAGGCTGCAAGCGCAAGCTGTTCGTTGAAGAACAAATCTCGGCTGCGCAAACTTTCCATCAGCAGGAGCAACTGCCGAAGATAAAGCTTCGACATCGGGATTCTTGCCTTAGAAAAAAAAAAGTCGCCATTAAAAGACAAGTGAGTGTTCCGAGTGTTGTAATAAAAATCTCCAGGAAAGCAATAACTGCCAAAATTGTTTTTAGAGTAATGTTGAGCTTGATTAATTCCCGAGCGAATTGAGAAACGCGAACGACAGTGTACTTGCTCTCTTGTTCTATTAAAAATGGCAGAACGCTGGCGGGGAGTGTTATTTTAACATCTTTATAACATCAGGTCACGGTCGAAAGTAGTCATATAAACAAGTAAAATCTAAAGACGTGACCGCCGAAACTGTGAGTTTACAAGAAGCATAGAGTACCGAGGTCTCTTCTCTTCAAAATCTTTTGACACTCCCCCCGTCTTACCTTGGCCCTTGGCCTTCCCCGTGTGGTCTATCTGGCCCCCACAGCCAAATGAGTTTGAGACCACTGAGAATCTAGATAATCGTTTGGGGATCACTTTGCCCGTGAGCATTTAGCCTCGTGCCATTTTGTTCCGCATCATGTTTCTGGGGCCATGCTTTCTGGGACTTTGTTCGGGATCGTAATTTTGGGGACCATTCTGTTCGGGATCATTTTTTGAGGGGACAATTTTGTCTGGGTTCCGTGGGATCGCCTTACCGAAAACTATTTTCTCTGACTATTTTTTTTCTTTCGGGATAATCTTTTTTGAATATCTTTTTGTACGGGATTATTTCCCGGAAACTCTTTGTCCGGAATAAAGTTTCAGGGCCCATTTTCTTTATGGCTATTTTGTTCGGGATAATCTTTTTGGTTAACGTTTTGTCCGGGACAATTAGCCTGCGACTACATTAACCGGGGTAAATTTTTCAGGGCCCAATTTCACTGGGACTACTTTTGTTAGGGATAATCTTGTTTGGGACCATTTTGTCCGGGACCATTTAGACCGGTATATTTTCTCTGAAATAACGTTTCCAGAGCCGATTTTCTCTGCGACTGTTTTGTTCGGGATCATCTTGTCCGGGACCATTTTCCCTGGAAGCATGTTGCTCGGAATCGCGTTTCCCGATCCCTTTTTCTCTCGAACTATTTTTTATACTCTTTTTGGGGGATTATTTCGTCCGAGATCACGTTTTCGAGGCCCATCTTCTCTAGGACTTCCCCGTTCGGGATCATCTTTTTAAGGGACCATTTTGCCCGGGACCTTTATGTCCGGGATCGCGTTGCCAGGGGCCATTTCCTTTGGGTTTACATTGTACGGGATAATATTTTGGGGGGGGTCGTTTTGTCCGGAATCACGTTACCCGGTGTCATTTTCTCTGAGATTATTTTGTCGGGAATCGTCTCGTTGGGATCTATTTTTAATTGCGATCATTTAGCGCGGAAACGTTCTGTCTGGGACAAAGGAGTAAGGTAAAATTTTGTTTATGACCCTTTTATCTTATACCCGAAACAACAGGAAGGAAACGGTGCTGTGGCGCTGCGATGCGCAACGGTGCGCGCTCTGCCAGTACAACCTCGAAGACAAGGCCTGCGCATGACGTCATGGTTAGTAG